CCCAAAGACACACAGCTGGGGACTGGCGGGGGGGGGGGGGGGGGGGCAGGACTCACCTGCCCTTTTCCCCTCTTTACTGCCCTTCTGCTGACCATGCTGCTGCCCTCTAGAGAGGATTTCATGCCCGGGATCACTGAAAGCTGGTGGAGGTGCCAGCAGCACGGGGGTTGGTGCCAGGTGGTTAGGAATGAAGACTCCAATATGCGTTGTTATTGTTATAAATATCATCCATAGCTCCCGTGAATTGGGAGCTGCCCATGTGCCATGCATCTTTACACACAGGATCTCATTTAATCCTTGCGAGTTTTAGCGGTGGTCAGAGAGTTTAAATGAAGCTCTGCTTCGGGGTGGGAAGGGGAAAAGATGAAATGAAGTTAGTTGTCTTTTTTGAATCCCAACATAATGTCTAAGGGTCTGGAGATTGAAGTCCAGTCTGTGCCGAGGACAGGTGGGGCTAAGGAAGGGACAGGATGTGCCTGTTTTCCAAACAGTGTGATGTCTGAGGTCAAAAGGTTTCTGGGTCCTGTGACTTGTTCTTTCTATCTGGGGCTCTCCCATCCTAGGGCCATTTCAATCTCTAGAGACATTGTAACCTTGCCAGTGACTTCATGGTTACTGCTTTCCTGCAGGTGTCACCTACTTCATTTTATAGATGAGGAAACAAGGGCCAAAGAGGTTAAGAAACTGCCCAAGGCCAAACACTGTTAATGGTTTGTAGAGTAGACATAGAAGTTTTCAAAGTTTTATTTGGTTTGTTTCTTACCAGGAGATCCTTTTTTTTCCCTTTCTCTAATAAAATGCAGTTCAGATTCTTAGACCTCCAGTGTCATAAGCAGGCAACAGGGATCTATTATATATAGTTGAAGTGAGGAAGCTTCCCCTACCACCCCTGCTTTGGCACCTTGAAGCCCCTCCAGGAAGGAAGGGGACCCAGTATGAGAACCACAGCCCTGACTCCTATCTGGGTGCTCTTTACAGCATCCCAGGCTGCCTTTGTCTCAGGACCTGCAGTGAGATGCTGGTCCTAACTCTGCTTGGTCCTCTGGGCATCCTTCTACTCTAATTCTTTTCCTCATCAGTAAGATTGAGCCCTAGCACAAAGGCCCTGTCCTTAGGAGGCCCCCATTGATTCTTGTTAGCTGAATGGATTCCACCTCCTGCACCTGATACAATTGTCTGGGCAGCTTCTTAAAACCATCTTTATTGTGATTCAGGTGAGTGATCTTGGGCAAGTCATCTGCTCTCTACATGACATAGTGTCCCTCTTTCTGCACCCCCACGGAGCTTCCTACTCTATCAACTTTGAGGTTTAAGAATAAGGATGCTACTTAGGCAGAGATGCTGAAAGCAGACTGCATCCTCGTTCCTGTATCCCTGAGGTTGAAAGTAGCAGCAGCTCCTCTGTCTGGGGCATGGTAGCAGACAGTCTTGCTGGGACTGTAGCCACAGGAGTCTCCCAGGAGCAAGGCTTTGCTTTATGTGCCTCATAGAACAGTGTGGCTAGACTTGCCTATGAAGCCTCCATTTGCAAATGGTTCCCGTTTCTCCATTCTCCTGTTTTCCTAGCAGTGACTGTCATGCGTGAGCTGTCTGTTTTGTTTACCTCCCACACCAGGGTGTAACCTGCACTGCTTCTACACACACTGTGAAGAGGGTAACTTAATTTATAACTGGGCAGGAGACTTGGTTTAAAGGGAGCTTCAGAAGGAAGGGACAGTGGTTGCAAAGTTGACCCTTTATCCTCTGGCTCTTCTTTGAGCACCTACTGAATGCCCAGGCCAAACACTGTGCCAGGTATGGGGGACACAGTGTCTGAGTGAGACTGACAATAACATGTAACTACAAACTGGTCAGAACAGTGAGAAAAACAAACAGGATGCCTGACAGAGCATACCAAGAGGGGACCCACTTTGGGTTGGGTGGGCAGGAAAGACCTCTCTGAGGATGAGACTTTAAGCTGAGACATGCGAAATGGAGAAAAGGCATTGTCCTGGAGGGGAAGGGGCTGGTAGGTCTGAGGGAAGAAAGTTCTAGGCATGGGAAGAGGGCTACTATGCCTGAGCAGCACAGTGGCAGAGTGATTTGGGGACTGAAGTTGAGAGAGAGGTGGGAGTGTGGGCTGTGGTAAGGCCTTTACTCTTTGAAGGATTTCTTTCTTTTGCTTTCTGGGTTGAGGTTGGGAGCGGTGCCTGGGTAGTGATCCAGGATTATGAGATGAGAGACGCCTCACTGGACACCTAGCTGGCTTGCCAGGAGACGGAGGAGGTGAAGTGCACCCTTCCCGTGCTGAGACCAGAGGCTGAGGGTAGCCGCAACATCACCCCCACACCTAGAAGCTGCTAGAACACAGAGTTTGGTTGTGCAGCTTTGGGTGGGGTACAGGCTGAGCAGGTCTAAGGGGCAAGGTGCAAACATCACTCTCAGTACTGAAAAAAAACAAGGCAGTAACACAGAGTCCTGGACCCAGTGTGGAAAGTGCACAACCAGGTGGGTGGGGGTGAGGGCAAAACCGGATGTGTCCTGGGAGACTAAGGAAAATTAAAGGTTGTATTGATATGCTTATGTTCCAGTGCTGGTACCACCCTACCAGGCACTATCTGACAGTGTTCTTGTTGTGCATACAGAGAAACTGAGGCATGCTGTATGCCCAATGTCACAGGAGCCAGGGAAGACAGGTTTTCTGAATTCAGAACTAAGATTTGCCAGTCAGTTTGGAGTTTTCAGCCATTATAAAGATCGTGAAAGAAAGAAAGGCCAGGAACCCTAAGTTCCTGGTGAATCCTGGACAGTAACTGCTTTTAGGTCTCGAATGGAGGACAGAGGACTGGTAAAATGGAGGGAGGGTTCCTCAGAGAAGGTGGGTCTGTGCTGAGGAAGCTGTGAGAAAAGGTGAGGGTTCCAGGCCTCACTTCAGGCCTGAGCAGGACATAGGGCTGTGGGAAGTTGGAGGCATGTTCAGGGGACTTCCCTGCAGAGGTTGGAGCGGGTATGGCGTGGGGCCCTCACTGACATGCTGCTTCCTGTGGTGTCTTCCAGGCCCAGAGGCTGTTGGGCCGAAGGAGGCCCCACCGGTCGTTCTTTGAGTCCTTCATCCGGACCCTCATCATCACATGCACCGCCTTGGCTGTGGTCCTCTCCTCGGTCTCCATCTGTGATGGATACTGGCTGCTGGCTGAGGACCGCCTCTATGGGCTGTGGCATTTCTGCACCACCACCAACCAGAGTGGGCCGCACTGCCTCAGAGACCTGAGCCAGGCCCCCGTGCCGGGGCTGGCCATGGGCGTGGGCCTGGCCCGCAGCGTGGGTGCCTTGGCTGTGGTGGCCGCCATTTTTGGCCTGGAGCTCCTCATGGTGTCCCAGGTGTGTGAGGATGCCCACTCACGGCGCAAGTGGGCCATGGGCTCCATCCTCCTCCTGGTCTCTTTCATGCTGTCCTTCGGGGGACTCCTGGGTTTTGTGATCCTCCTCAGGAACCAGGTCACACTCATTGGCTTCACCCTGACGTTCTGGTGCGAATTCACCGCCTCCTTCCTCTTCTTCCTGAACGCCATCAGTGGTCTTCACATCAACAGCATCACCCACCCCTGGGACCAACCAAGAAAATTTTAGGGCTCCTACGGGGACATGGGGCTCTACAAGAAAGAGTGGGACTTTTTCAACTTGGGGCCTCTGGTGGGGATGGGTGGGATAGTGACCTTGAAACTGCTGCCTCATAGCCACTCAGCTTTGAGTGGTCAGCCATAAATGGCCCAGGGGCCTCTACAGCTGGTCTGCAGGGCCGGAGGCCAGGAGGGTGCCTCAGTGCTACCAGCTGCACAGGTTTAGCCAAGTTATTAGGGTTCTGGTTTTAGAAGAAGAAAAACATTTTAAAATTCTTTTCTTGAGTTTTCTTCCCTGGACTGGAATAGCTTTGGGAGCATCTTGGGTAACTGGTGCCCAGGCTAGGCCATAGCCAAGTGCAGTTCACATCTGTTTTATTGACTCTGGGCTTGGATGTAGGCTGTTATCGTCCCTAGGGCTCCTGGGGTTGTTAAGAATGGATCACTCTTCCAGCTCAGGGTCCAGTTGGGGCTTAGAGCTTTCTTCCATTAGCTAAAAGGGCCTTCGTGCACGTTTCCCTGCCTTTAGCTATGGCCATGCCAGGGAGGCAGGGTCCAGGATTCCCTCAGAATGTCTGGCACATAGTAGATTTTAAAACTGTTTGACTTGATTTGACCCATGCCTGCTGTGGGAACCTCACAAATACTGGATACCCCAACTTCTAGAAGTTGGCTGTCCCCTCTGGGGGCTCTGCCTATCAGAATCCTGCTTTAAGGTGGGTTTCCTTTCTCTTTTGAGAAGAGTTCTTGAGCAAGGCCCCCCGGGAGGGCCCACCTAACTTCTAACACTCATACACAGTCCTCCCCAGGCCAACGTGTGTTGTGTGCCCGCCATCTGTAAGGGTCAGACAGCCTTGGGGTACCATTTTTGATCCTAGAACACGTTTCAAAGAGCACATGTCTGGACCTGCTGGGCTCCACAGGGGGTAAGGGGAACAGCCAGACCATGGGTAAAGATTAATAACCATCCTGAGGATGAGTGAAAGTGAAGGGGGCCAGGAACCAGTGGAGATTTCTGTCATCGCTGGCAGATCTGCACTTCGTTCATCAGACTGCCCCCTTTTTAGTCTCATTTCTGCCCAGAAGTAGGAGAGGTTTTTGTCCTCAGCCATTTCATTCTACACAGGCCCCCTTTCCCCTCCCCTACCTGGTTTATCCTGGCTCCTACTGATTGCATGGGGTTTTGGTTTCTGCCCTGCTCTTGCCACTGCAAGCCCCCTTCCTGGGTTGGGCTGAGTGCCTATACCTACCTCTCGTGATTTTTAACAGTTCTTACTCCAAGATGCACAAATCATGAGGCTGTGTGGCGTAGTATGTAAGACGCAGAAGTCCATGGGAAAGGTTTCTGTGGACTGCTCGGTTTTGCAGAGCAGAGCTCATCAACCTCACAGGCTGGGTTTCAGCCTGGGAAATGGTGTAGGGGGTGACCTTGTCTCTGCAGAGGGAGAGAGGTATGGAGGTGGGGAGCCAAGGCCCAGAGAGGGATACACTTATACACGGTCACGCAAATACAGGAATAGAGCTGGCCACCCACCAGCAAGATGCTTGTTCCTCGACACTTGTTTCCGGGTATGGAGGTGGGGAGCCAAGGCCCAGAGAGGGATACACTTATACACGGTCACCCAAATACAGGAATAGAGCTGGCCACCCACCAGCAAGATGCTTGTTCCTCGACACTTGTTTCCAGGATGTTTCCTCTGAGCACTAGTAGGTTTTGTTTTGTGAAAGGGTTCAAATATTTAGTCTTCTTTCATCTTCACATAGGGGAGGAAGTGCAAATATACAAGGGAACAGAGAGCCAGGGTGAACAGTGAGACTAAAGTTCACAAGAGCTGAGCGAGACAGGACTGGTCCCTGTCCTTACCTGCTTTGGAACAAAGGCACTTGAAATAAAAGGCCCCAAGGCTGGCTGGTTAGCTCAGTTGGTTAGAGGGCAACCTTGTAACACCAAGGTCACGGGTTCAGATCCCCATACCAGCCAGCCGCCAGAAAAATGTAAAAGGCCTTGGACTGAATTTCTGCCACATCCTTGTTGAGTAGCTTGGGCAAGTCACAAAGGTGAACCTGTTTCTCTAAAGTGGGATCATGCCCCATTTCCAGCTCACCTGCCTCCCAGGCTGAGGACAACTGTGAAAGAGCAGTAAGAATGTCAGGGACACTAAAGGGGCGGGGGGGTCCTGGGACTCTCCTTCCTTCCATTGTGACTTTATCATTAACAGAGCCATTGTCCTGAAGGCTCAGATTAGTGAGTTGTAGTGGGGGATGGATAGGATCTTCCTAGTGCCAAGGGCCTTGATTTCTCATGGGAGTGAGCTACAGCATATTCCCTCACTTGTGTCTCAGGGCAAAAGGACTGACAAATGCAAACCAAACCTTGTCCCAGGTACCATTTATTTTCCTGCCCTCTCCTGGGATCCTGAACTGCTCTTCCCAGAAGAGCACAACAGACCCAATTCCCAGGCCTTCATCCCGCCCCATGGTGCCCCAAGTCCCTTCTGTTCAGTTCTGAGGAATCTAAGGCCTGGGGGAGAGGCGTTATCAGCCACAGGGGAGAGCACAGGATGTCTTCTGGGAAGATGGCTGTCCTGCAGCAGTGTCCAGCCTCTCAGGATCCATCAGATGACACTGGCCCTGCAGGTGCCCTGGCTCTGCTCCAAGGGGCTGGCCTTGGTTCTGTTGCTGAAGGAGGAGCTGAGGGCCACAGGGCACAGCAGGGACTCACGGAGGTGCCACTGCTGCCACTTCTTCTGAACTTCCAGCTGCACCTGCCCCAGAAACTAGCCATCAGCCCAGGAGGGAAGGACGGCCCAGTGCCCACAGTCCCGCTTACTGCCCAGAGGCCTCCATGCTGCCTCTGGGTCCTGCTGTCCCTTCTCCTGCAGGCCACTCAGATTGACCGTTTCCAGCCCTGATATTCAGTAGGTACTGAGAGCTCCCTCTATCCTGGGCACTTACACCTGTAATCTCATTACATCATGTCCCGAAGAAAAGGACTTGTGATTTATTTGCCAAACTCCAGAGCTCAAACATCCACATTTGCACTTGTGACAATTGGATGCTTATTCCCGTGAAGACAACTGAGCTCAGAACTTATCTGGGACCCAGGGAGTTGCTCTTCGGAAATTTCCTTCACAGTTCCCAGCTGGAGCAGAAAAACCTCGAGGCTAGGCTTTATGCTTGCTTTTTGGAAAATATCAGAGGTCATTCCCACTCAAGTGTGGTGAACCAGAGGGAAGGCCAAGTCACAGAAAGGCGTTACCTGTGTGCAACAGTGTTCAACTAATGTTGATTACATAGCTTCTGTGTGCCTGGAGCCTCATGTCCTGACCCAAATGCTCTGTGCAAGGCCAGAGTCCTCAAAGTGAGTGTGCGGTCACTCAAGAAGTCACACTCATTTGGAGGTCTCTGGGGATCAAGCTGCAGACATTTCTTCTGAGTCACCCATTCCATATATGGGAAGACTGAGGCCCAGAGATAGGTAGTGACCAGATTGCTCATTGAACATGCTGCAGAGCTATCAGGAACCCGGGTTCTGGTGGGGGTGCCAGTGCTTCCCTCCTGCATTTCCTGAACTTGCCCATGGCTAAGAATCACCTGGAGTGCTTGTTAAAAAACATTTTCTCAGGCCCCGGCCCAGACCCACAGAATCCGTTTTTGGTTTTTTTTGTTTTTGTTTTTGTCCTTTTTTGTGACCGGTAAGGGAATCGCAACCCTTGGCTTGGTGTCGCCCGCACTGCGCTCAGCCAGTGAGCGCACCGGCCATCCCTATATAGGATCTGAACCTGCGGCGGGAGCGCCACTACGCTCCCAGCGCCGCGCTCTTGCGAGTGCGCCACGGGGCCAGCCCCAGAATCCGTTTTTGCTGAACCAGAAATGGGGGGGGGTGTTAGGGAATTGTTTTCAACAAGCCCACCAGATGAGTCTTGCTACCATGAAGTGAGCACAGACTCTTAGAAGACTAGCCAAGCTTCTTGCCATGAAGCCCAGATCTCTCCCTCCCCTCTCTTCCATCACCCGCCTTCCTACCACTCTTTCCAAATAGCTCCTTCTGCACCAGAATCCAGAGGCTAGGAGCTCTCCCAGGCATCTGTGTACCCCAAGAACACTCACCTCCCCATTGAGGAAACAGTAGAGGACGGCCACCACTAGTCCCTGCCAGAGGGAGCAGAGAGCAGGGTTAGTGCAGGCACTTCAGCATCCGCATTCAGCCTCAGGCAGCTGGGCCTCACCAGCTCCAGGCTCATTTCCTCAGTCTTTTACCCCAGGGGGAATTCAGGCTGCCTCTTCTGGGCCACTCACAATACCCCTGGCTGTACCTACATCATCCATCATAGACTGTGAGATCCTTGTGGCTAAAGACAAGGCTTCTTTCCTCTGTTCTTCCCCATGTCTAGTGGTGTCAGTGACAGTAAAGTAAGGGCTGCTAACTCGGGCCAGTGGGGACCAGCAGGTCACCTGAATTAGTAAGGTGGGACATCTGGGAGTGACAGGGAGTAGTGGCACTGAAATGTGCTCACCCCACTGGGAGGGGGCAGAGCCAGTCCAGTATGAGACCCTGGGCCCTGCATGGTCTAGTTTTTAAGACAAGCTGAAAACTGGAGATATTTATACATGGATAACTAATTCAAATTTAAAAACAAATGTGTGATCAGAACAACCTGTATAGGTCCTGGCCAGCCAGCAGTGGGACCTCCCTGCTTAATGGATGGGTGGATGGATCTCCATGCTTAGGGCTTTACATTGCCTGGCTGGGTGGTGTTTGTGCCTATCAAGATCCACCCTCCCTGTCATTTGGAGCTCCTATTTTCCTGTTGGTGCCCCTACGATCCTGGCATGGAGCTCTGCCAGGGTAGGGACTCCAGTCTGGGATGTCTGATTGGCAACTTAGAGGCCTGCAGAACAAGTGGCAAGCAGTGTCTCTGCAGTGCATCCACCATGCTTACCTCCTCAGGGATCCACCTCGGGCCAACCTTCCCTTCCTCACAGGCCTGCCCTCCTCCCCCAAAGGCCTGGGTGTCACACTTGTGACCTTAGGTGGCCTGACCCCTCCTCCCCAGTTCCAACCATGCCTGCTCTTCACCACTTACTTCTTAGGAAATGACCCCACAGGGCGATGAACCAGCCTGTCTATGGTGGGCTTAATATGTATGACCACTCAGGGATCCTGGCATTTTAACAAGAATTAGTGATGAAACTAGAAGAGTTTAGTTTAGAATGTCAGGCATCAATGACTGCTACATACAGTAGAGACTATTTGAGGGCAGTGGTTTCCAAATTCTGCTGCACATTAAAATCACCTGGGAGCTTTTACCCAGCTTGCACTCAATATCCCAAATGTGAATATCATGGGGCAGGAGCTTTAGCAGCTTTTAAAGATCCCCGCATGGTTGGAATGAGGCATCACCATCTGGGAACCACTGTCAGAGAGCAGGGTGGAAGGCACCAAAAGGCAGCCTTTGAAATAGAAGACCTGGATTTGGAGCATAGCTTGGCCTCTGTGATTGTGGAATTCTGGGTTCCAGGTGCCTCATTTAATCCTTGCTGAAGCCCTCAGAGGTAGGTTGGAGGACCCCCACTTTACAGGTCAGGGATTTGAGTCACAGAGGGCTTTAGGCATGAGTGGAGCTGTGTACTTGGCCCGGAGCCGGCAGTCAGGCTGAGGCTGATGCCCATCTCATGGGCACAGAGTTGCCCAGGCCTCACCTGTCCTGGGATCCAGGGACATATTTGCACTGTCCAGGGGAGGGCAGGAACCCTGGGTGAGAGAAAGCTGTGCCCCGAGTGTATATAGGGGCAGGCTTCACACAAGCCAGCAAGTTTACTAAATGCCGCAGTTACTATATGATCATTAAAAATGAAGATTGAAGAATTAATGACATGAAGAAATGTTCATGATGGGCATGATAGAACTTAAACAAAGCAAGCAGTATACAAAACTACACATCATCATCCCAATTATAGAGGTATGTGTGGGCATCTGTGTGTCTGTGGATAGGAAAAAGGCAGGAGTAAACATACTGACATTTTAACAGAGGTTATTCCTGGGTTAGCGATTATAAATGATTTTGTTCCTATTTTTCTTTTTTACTTTTCCTTCTTTCCCAAATTATCTACAACAAGCAAGTATTATTTATACAATTGAAAGAGCTAATACATTTTAATTTTTAAAAGCATCTATTTTTCTTTTTTACTTTTCCTTCTTTCCCAAATTATCAACAACAAGCAAGTATTATTTATACAATTGAAAGAGCTAATACATTTTAATTTTTAAAAGCATATGACATCATATAATGGTATTGTGGTTGTGTGCACTATTCTTTAAGCCCCTTTTAGAAATACATACTAAAATGTTACAGATGAAATAATATGATGTCTTGGATTTAATTAAAAAGGTGAGGGTAGTGGGTAGAGATGGAGATGAAACAAGATAGAGCATGAGTGGATATTGCTGAAGCTGGGGATGGGCACATGGGAGTTCTTTATACTAATCTCTTCACTTTTGTATATGGAAGTTTTCATATATGTATATATACATATATATGTATTTTATATGTGTATATATATAGGAACATATATGTATACATATACATATAACTTTTAAAGATCCTTTTTCTTCATAAACATTTTTGTGAGAACATTAGGAAAGTGCTTTTGGTTTTCTCTTGATGAGATATTTTTCCCAGAGAGCTAGTCCACAGCCCCAACCACGAGCCCCTGCTCTGAGGGGCAGGAAGTCTCCATGTACATGCCAGGCAGACCTGAGCCTCCAAGCTCTCAGCACGGTCCACTACCCACTTTTGTGAATCAGGTCAAGTTCTTCCATGTGACTGGACTTCAAATCCCCAACCTGCTAAATGGGCCACTGTGAGCCCAGCCTTCCTGGACATTATCAGAACAGTGGTGGTAAAAGCTCCCTGGTCCCCCCAGCCAAAAGGAAAAGAATAGTGGATCGCACAGGAGGCTGGGTTCTCTGGAAGCCTGGGGCCCTTGGTGGGGGCTCTGTTCAGAGGAGTGGCTCAGAAGAGAGCAGAGGGTACGCTCTGTGGTGTTCAGGGTCTGAAGGTGTGGGGAGGGCAAGACCTGACTCCACTCAGTGATGAGTCCTCCCTGGAACCTGTGAATGATGGGAGGACCCTGGTCATGCCTGCCCTGAGCAGAACTCTGGGGATGAGAGGACACTCAGAACCCCTACCCCAAGGTGGAGGCCTCCCCAGGTGAAGGCTCTGCTGGACAATATTGCTCTGTTGTGGGAATGTTAAGGACAGGCTAACTCCTTTAGGAAAACCCATCAGGAAAACTCTCTCAGGCCCTAGAACCTTCTCCTGGCAATTAGTTTCTTTTCATTTAATGGATACCATAAATCTTGAAACAGAGTGCTTCTGTCTTTGCTTTGGCTACTGGGAAGCTCCAAACCAAACCTAAGGCCCACTTCTCCCACCTTTATAGGACTTCATCAAATTTGTTTCTGTGTATGAGTTCATCCAGCTTTATACCCTTTTTTTCATTGATCCTTCATCTACTTATTTTTTGTCCTCTGCATGTTTTTCCCAAAAGTGACATCTCATTATTTTTGGAAGGAACTAACTATGAATAAATAATAAATAAACAAATGACATTGTGAAGTTTGGGATTCGTATTAAGGCTCCTTTCTGTCCAAACATGTTTAATTTTCTTTTTTAACCTTACAACATCTTTTTGAACTAGTAGGTAGGTGATTTTCTACCTCATTTTATTTTTTAAAGTCAGTTTTTATTTTTATCAAGTTGGGTATGCACATGATTTTAAAGAGTCAACTGATTTTTGCTTCCAAAAACCATCAGCCTCCTGACTCCCCGCCCCCATTTCCTGTTCCTCAGAGGCAACTACTTGAAACTCTCTTAACTGATTCTACATAATATGCTGATGTTGCCACTTGTGGATTTTTCAGTTTGGGGTGGTTTCTATGGACTCTCCAGTATGAAGAAGAGGATATTGTTCTCTTTCAAACACACTCCCACCCCACCCCCACCCTCCCACAGTTCATCTTCCTGCCTGATTTTTGATGGCTCAGCCATCAGCGGGCACATTATTTTGACTAGGTATATGCTATTGAAAGCTGCACACTATAACACACTGGGGTTACATTTGTTCTCCCTGGAGTGGTATCTCTTATCCTCTCTTAGTTTTATCTCCCACCCCTATTTGGTGGAGACCATGGGGCCCACTCAGGGTCACACAGCACAGTCCTACCCCTGCTTTCCTTGGGTCTCTGCCAAATGACATATTCACCTTCCCAAGCCACCGCTGAGCTTCAGGAAGATCTGGTGTGCTGTCTCTGCGTCCTCTGCCTCTCTGAGAGAGAGAGAACACCTCTTTCTAGCTTGCAGCTGCAGTCCCCAAAAGCTTACCTGGAATGAGCCAAGGGCCAATTCAAAAAACAGTTGAATCTCCATGGCGTCCTCTGGAGAGAAGGCGAAGACAATGTAGTGGATACCAAAGAGGGGGATCAGCAGGAGGGTGGACTTAGCCAGACGCCTGGGGACACAGGGACATGCTGCAGCCTACTGCTTTGCTTTCTCCAGTCCCTGCACCACCACTCCCCACCCCTCAGGCACAGCTTGGTGCTACCCATCTCCTGCCTGATTGCTTAAGGTTTGGCAGCAGTTTACCAAAACTTTTTTGTTTTCACTTTTTTTTTTAGTTTATTTATTAATTTTTTTTTTTTTTTTTTTTTTTTTTTTAAAATTTTTTTTTTT